TGTGTTAACTGCTCCATGGGTCCTTTGAAAGAATCGTCCGCAGATGTGACTGCGTGTGCGGTCCCGTCAGCACACATCACACCCAAAAGCAGCTTGTCCCAGGGCCTGTTTGCACGAAGCGTGGGTCTCTCCATGACTGAGGCTTAAGCACTGGTTTCCCTCCTTCTCGAAAGGCCTGCTCTGTCTGTGCTCGAGCAGGGTGCAGAGGAGGCCAGCACGGGGCACGAAGCTGCTGCCCCTTCCTGTCACTCTTCCTGGTCCACACAGGACACTCTCAGCTCTGGTTGGCAGAAAAGAGAGTGATTCCAGCAGTGTCTCTTCTCTAGTCCTACCTTTCCCCAGAGCTGTCTTCACGACATGAGAGGCTGCAGAGACTGAGGCTCCCTTGCCGGGGTCTCTGGCCCCGGCCCTCTGTGGACACGTCATCCGAGTTGCTAAAGAGTAGCTCTCTTCTGTCCCCCTTTACCGTACAGCTCCAGTCCCTTCTTTAAAATTCCTGCCTGTGCCATAATTCTGGCTTTGGCTTCTGCTCTTCGATAATGTCTGTGCCGTGAAAGACAGGAAAGCGGCTGCGTTTGTTTGGTCCACCCTGCTGAGCGCCGGCTGCCCACCAGTGCAGCAGCGTGGGCAGCTGGGGTGCTCCATGGAGCAGCCTGCTCTGCCCGGAGCTGCGCATCCCAGTGGAGCTGCTGTGCACCTGGGGACCCTCTTGTGGCACTCCCAGTAGACGGGGTGATGGAGGGATGCTGACAGATAGAAAGTGGATCACTCCTCAGAAGATTTACTTTGTTTCCAGCAACACCCGCCGGGCTGCAGAGGTCTGGATGGATCAATACAAGAACTTCTATTATGCAGCAGTGCCTTCTGCCAGGAACGTTCCTTATGGAAAGTGAGTGTCGCGTCTGCCTTCTGCTCACTTGGGGGTCCTTGGGTGCGGAGGCTGGGGGCTGCGGCCAGAGTTGAGAACAGCTCCCGGGTGGAGGCTGTGCGGACCCCGAGGTGGGCGGGGGCTGGGCTGTGCTCACCGCAGATTTTCAGGTTCGCTGTAGAGAGAGCCTGTCATTCTTACGGTATGTAAGGTGGTCCCGTTTCCCTGTCCTGCAGCATTCAGAGCAGACTGGAGCTTAGGAAGAAACTCGGCTGCAAGCCTTTCAAGTGGTACCTTGAAAATGTCTATCCAGAACTAAGGTGAGTCCCAGGACCCCACGTTTCGCCTCGTGAGGGCTTAGAAGCAAAGGTCAAAGTGAAGGCCAAGTGTTCGGATTCCCTGTGTACCAGCCAGCTGTCAAAAAAAAAAAGTCAGAGACATGGCAGAGGCCTTCAGAGGTTGAGCTGCAGGCGGTAAGAGCAGTGTCCTAGCCCCATGGCTGTCCCCAAGTGTCCCTGTGGCCTCCCGCCCCTTCCTCTGTAGAGCCATCCCCCTGTTCTTCCTGGACCTGGAGGCCATCCCCGGGCATCACCTTGTTTTAGCTTGTTCCCCATTGGTGGGATGACAGGAAGGTGACCCAGGGGACTGTTGTCCAGCAGGCTCGTCAGGTGCCCTCGATGCCCTCCCAGCCTCTGTGGCCTCTCTGACAGGCTGTCTCCTGTGTCCCTCCTCTGCCCTTGCCCATGAGCGTCAGCCCGTCCCTCCCTGCCTTGCTGCAGTCCATGGGGCACTGCTGTCCCTCCAGTGGGCTGGCAGGAAGCGGCCTCAGCGAGGCTCAGGGAACAGGGACCTGACATGGGGCTGCTCATCTGGGCTGGTCTGACCATGTTGCCAGTGACACAGAAGCACCCTCCTGGCCTCATCTCTTCACCGACTGCTCGTTTTAAGCTCCCGTGGGCTCCACGTCCTGCAGGAAATGCGCAGGCCCGCCAGGTTTGGGACGTGGCCGAACTTCCTCTCCTCGTGAGGCACATCGTAACCTAATAGTCCTGGAGCAGGTTCCAGGTGCCTGCGTCTCCCACACGGCCACTGTGCATATGGGCTGCCACCGTCACCCTGGCTCACAGTGCTCGCTCGGTGGCTTTCGGAACTGTGTCCTCTGCTTTCACAGTAATGTGTGAGATGCCGGGTGGCTGTGCCCCAGGAGGAGCAGGAGGGAGCAGGGTTCTCCTGCCTCGGTTCCCCTCTGGGGGTGGCATTTGCAGGGTACTGAGAGCAAGGATGGTCTCCAGGGGGAAGCCTGGTCCTGGTCTCCCCCTGGCAGTGGAGGGGCTTCCCAGCAGTGGATGTCACCGCACGATGGCACCGGCTCTGCCTCGGCTGTCCCAGCTGGCTGTGGCTGGGTGGGTGACGAAGCTGGGTAGAGTGACATTAAATGTAGTTTCTCACTGAAGTCACCCGTGATTTGGGGCAACCCCAGGCCTTGCACCCACGTAAGACCCCAACTGAGGCATTCAGAACCACTGCTGTGAATGGGCGTCCCCATCCCTGCAGGGCGAGGGGACACCAGCTTCAGGTTTTACTGTGTCTGTGACCATTGCTACTTGGGGCTGAAATGCTGTCTGTGAAGTGTCTTAGGTGACATTTGCAGCAGACCTGCTTAGCGGGTGTAGACAGGAGAGTGCACTGGGGTTTAGAGCTCGTGTCTGCACGCAGCTGGCACCTGCGGAGGGAGACTGAGTCTCGAGCACGCTGCTCTTCCCTGCTGGTCTCCGTTCTCTGTTTTGGCTGCTGACAGACCCCCTCATGGTCTCCCCTGCAGTCGGTAAGGTCAGATCCCAAGTCTCTTGAGAAGTCCAAGGCAGCAGGATCAGACCACGTTGATTAGTTTCTCACTGACTTCCAGCAGACACTGGGGAGGGCCGGGAGCTTTCTGGAAAAACTTCCCGATTCAGAGTAGAAAGAATCCTCCAGAGGCTCAGAGAAGCGCTGGGTCACGGACACCCCTGCCTGTGGTGGGGGACGTCCCCTGCCTGGCGCTGGCCTCCCCCTTGTTCCTGCTGCCTGGGAGGAGGTCACCGGGCACAGGGTTGCTGGACAGGAGCTGGCGGTCATGTGGAATTAAGCAGGATTCTCGCGTTGCTTTTCAGGGTGCCAGACCATCAGGACATCGCGTTTGGGGCCTTGCAGCAGGGAACCAACTGCCTCGACACGCTGGGCCACTTTGCCGATGGTGTGGTTGGAGTTTATGAATGTCACAATGCTGGGGGGAACCAGGTACGTATGGGTGGACTCCACCCCTGTCCAGGCTGCCACCTTCCTCCTGGGCGGGCAGCACCTGGCTCCTGCTGGTCACAGCCTCTCGGGCCAGTCTCTGCGGCAGTGGCAAGGGGTGAGCTGGTTGACGTTGACCTCAGCCCCTCGTCCAGGCCTCCTTGTCCAGGCATGGCTGCGGGACGGTGGCACGGGCCGTCTCCTGCTTCCTCCTTCCTGCCAGCTCTGTCCTCCCCACCCTGTCTTCACCCCGACGCGCCTGTTCTGCGTCTGTGACTGGCCTCGAGTGTGGCCTCCACACCTGCCTTGTGCCCCACGTAACGGGTGCTCAGCCGCGGGCACTGTGGCTGCTGCTGCTAGAGCAGCGTCATCACCGCCTGTTAGGTACCGATGGCTCGGGTATAGGATGTTAGCAGTCGCTTCAGTGTGAGACGCGCACACATCGTTTCCTGGAGGCGTAAACCGCCCCCTTCTCCTGTCACTGGAAAGGAGAGAGGTCCGGGGAGGCCTGGGGGGCCCGGCCGTGACCTGTGTGTTCCCAGGTGGTTTTCCCACGAGATGATAACAGGTGTTTGGGTAAAACACGAGCGTCCTGCACAAGGAAGTTGGGCAGAGCTGTGTGCCCTCGTCCCCTTCTTGAAGACTTGACTGGCACCAAGAGGGCCTGCCGTTCAAAAAACCATGGTTGACCCAGAACCTTCTTAACGAGAACCATTTTTGCCAGAGGGCTCCTGCTTGCATGTGACGTTCACTGCTCCAAGTTCTCCCAAGCGACTGTCCGGGCACAGCACAGTCCCCAAATACCTTGGCCCCTTTCTGGGCACTTGGTAATGTGGTTTTAGTTAGTGCTGGTGTGGAATGGCCCAGACACCCTGGATTAGGCAAGGGAAGAGAGAGAACCTCCTGTCTTGGGCTGGACTGGGCCCGTCCCCATCGGCGTGGGGCAGGTGTCGGGCCTGGCCCTGCCCCGCCCCAGCACGCGTGCCATTCCCAGGCCTCCAGGGTCTGGCCTCTGCTCTTAGCCTCTAGGTCTTGAGGATGCTCCGCAGGGAGCAGGCTACAGGCCGTGGGGAGCGCAAGGGCCAGCCTCTGGGCATCGCTTGATTTTCGGGTTTTAAGTATTTAGTATTTAATCCTATGGCATGGGGTCCCGGTGGAGGAACCCATGAAGAGGAAGGAAGGAGCAGGATAGGGGAGGGAAGAGCAAGGAAGTGAGAGAAGTGGGGCCAAGAGCCAGCTGGTGCAGGCGGTCCCCAACTCATGATGTGCCCGGCTCACGATGGCTCGACTCACAGTGGCTAGACTTCACTATGGCCTGACTCACGATGGCCCAACTCACAGTGGCCCAACTTCACGATGAGCTGACTCACAATATCTTGACTTCACGATGGCCCAACAAATGCTGTCCCAACCTCACAGTGGCCTGACTCACAATGGCCCAACCTCACAACAGTGTGAAAGAGACACACATTCAGTAGAAACCGTCTTGTGATGTTGGGTGGGTTGTGTGTATTAAGTGCATTTCAACCTGTGCTATTTTCAACTTGCAATGGGTTTCTAGGGGTGTAACCCCATCACAAGTCAAGGGGCGTCTGTGACTGTGGGGTGGGCGGAGGCGGAAGAGAAAGTGCGGTCCCACCACATGCGTTTGTGTTCTTGTTCGCTCCTCTGTCCAAGGCCCTGATGTTGAATGTGGTTTCACTGACGGCTGGGGCTAGGGGGCCCAGCGACATCATCAGGGTCTCGTTCCTGGTGGCCATGTGGCAGCGGTGGTACCGTTCTTGTGCTGCTGGCGGCGGGACAGGAGGGGTGTGGGACCTGCTCTGCTCCTGCACTGACCACAACTGTGTTTCTTTCCTCGGTTTGGGCTTCAGGCTGACGCAGGGAAAGCACAGGGAGAGAATTGTTGTCTGTTTCCATGCGAAGCCATTGCAAAAGTACTGAAATGCCCTCAGAAAAGCGAAGCCTCGTGAGGAAGGGGACGCGATGGACCGAGTTCTCTGGAAGCTGCACAGAACCCAGGAGAGAGAGGGGGCTTTGGGGTTCGGCAGCACGGCCTGCATTCAGATCTCGCCAAGTGCAGACTCTGGGGTGGTTTGCTGGGGTGGGCAGAGCTCGCCTTTGGTCTGTGGGTACAAGAGGATGGACAGGGTGCCCCCAGACCCTGCCCCGTCTGCGTTCTCGGGCTTGCCGCTCTCCCCCGCTGGCCTGTCCTGCGCGTGTGGCTGTGGGGGTTCCCTGGCCACGCTGACGGGCTCTGCGATCCTGTGGACGTCGGCGGGGTCAAGCCTGCCTGTCTGCGCAGCTCCACTGGGAGGGATGCGTCTTCATCCACAGAGCATTTGGGAAGAAGCGCTTCCAGGCTCCTACTGGAGGACCTCCTGGTCGGAGCGTCTTCCCTGGGCCCTACGACAGGCTTGGCCCCCTCAGCATGGGGAGTAGGTCCTCAGGGAGTGGGTGTGTGCGGCTTTTATCCCACGGCTAGAAACACGGCATTGGGCCCTGCGGTGGTGGCTCAGCAGGAGACGGAGGCTTGGCTTGTGCCGTGCAGCTGTGACGACCCCACCTCTCCAGGAGCAAGGCCTTTGTGCCTCCGGCCCTGGCCTCCCAGGGGTGCCCATGGTGGTCTTGGGCGTTCTTCTCTGCAGGCCTGGAGGTGTGGGACCATGTGTCCTGGGCTGCCAGCATGTTGCCAGCTTGCACCTCGTGCCCCCCGTGACTTTACTTTTTACTCGCTCCCCATTTCAGTCACAGGATGTCGTGGTTTGGACAGGAAATTATGGGCACGGAGCTCACTGGTGACGAGCCGCTCTCAGGATGCCCTTTTGGGGAGGAAGCAGATGGGGACAGCATGGGAGGCCTCCCAAGGCTGGTTGCTCCCAGGAGAGGGGACAGTGATGGGTGGCAGCCAGAGCCCAGGCCTCGGTCTGCCAACAAAGCCTCACTCCCAGTCTCCACGCAGACTCCAGCAGTCAGCACGGGGCTGGCCGAGGTCCTGCAGGGACCTTGCTGCTGTTGTCACGGGGCTTTCCCTCCTTCCTGCAAGTGTGCTGCCCCCTCCAGGGTGGTCGTACCCTACCCTCCTCCAGTGCCCGTGTGCAGAACCACCCCGAGAGCTTCTGCAAAATGCCAACCGGGTCCTCTGCCCAGAGAGCCTGATTTAATTTGTCTGGGGTCGGAGGGCACCTAGTCTTGAAGAGCCCCCAAGTGATTCTGAATGGGCAGCAGGGGTTCTGCAGCGGGTGTGACATGGTGACCCTACCACTCACCTGGGGACAACTCCCTCCATGGACCCACTAGAGGCCAGCAAGCGTCTTTCCAACAAGTGCTGCCCAGTAGGTCCATGTGCTGTGACAGACGCACTAGATTGTGCTGTCCAGCGTGGCCCCCGCCTGTGGCCAGGGGAGTGACATTAAATTTCTAACTTTATTTAATTTTAATGAATGTAATGTGATTGGCCACGTGTGGCTGCCGGCTGTTTGTTACTGTGGTTCTGGAGGTGACAGCAGGCAGAGACCCGCTTGCTGCTGTGTGGACTTTCTGGCTCCTGAGCCCACCCGAGTGAGCCCTTTGTGAACTGAGGGAAAGGGACCCATTTTGGGGTCATGTGCCGTATGGATGAGAAACGGGAGAGTAATTAGTATTTCCTGCCTGCAAAGGGCACGGTGCTCGGGAAGAGTGAGGTTTGTTATCTGGTTTCTGGCGGAGCCTCAGCAGACACACTAATGAGTGCGCTTTTAAGAGTGGCAGCTCAGGAAAGCACTTCTTAAATACTTATGAACCGTATTTTACAAATTCAGATCATTGAAATGCGACAGAGGAACAGAGGGGCAGGCAGCTGTCGTTTGCGCAGGGGGGTCTGTTTCTGTGGAATTCGGTGTAAAGTGTGCCTTACAGTGACAAAGCACAAGATGGCAAGAAGGTCGCGGAGGAGCTCAGATGTCATCTCTGCTGTCAGCAAACCTCCCCCCACCCCAGCGCCAAGGACAGTCTCCTCCACGTGCACAGTGCTCCTGCCACCCGCGAGGGTGTCGCTGTGCCATGGCTTCACACACACGTGCAGGGGTGTGACCGGCACCTGTCCAGAGTGACGGGAGCAGGGACGCTTCTTCCTGGACCTCTTTGTCCGGAAGGCTGTCTGCACCCAGGAAAGCACACACGCCTTCCCATCTGCTCAACACTCCAGCGTTTCTGCGACCAAATGAACGGGAAAACCAAAGTGCGTTTCCTGCTCTAGACTCACACAAACCTTCACTTCCGACGCCGGACGTGCGGGGTTTTCCCCAGACCAAGCCGTTCTCATACTTTGCAGACACAGCTGGGGTCCTACGAGTCAGTTCAGTGCCGACACTAACCACCCGGAGTTAGCACAGACCCCGCAGGTGAAGGGCTCAGTCATGCAAGATGCCCTCACGGCAGACAGCAGTCCCAAGTCCCGGTTGTCACCTGTGCTTCTGACCAGCAGGCTGTGAGTCAGGGTTCAGTCATTTGCTAGTGAAAGGGTACAACTCAGGAAGACATGGCACAGGGTGGGGCCTGGGAGTGGGGTGGGGACACGGAGCTCCCACACTCCCTGCACCTCCACGTGTTCCCCAACCCAGGGCTCTCCAAACCCCTAGTTCAGGGGTTTTTATGGAGGTTTCATCACATAGGCACGATCAGTCACAAGCCCAATCTCCAGCCCTGCTGCCTTCCTGGAGGACGGAGGGTGGAACTGTGCGTCCCAGGCTTCTCATCATGGCCTGGTCTTTCTGGCGGCCAGCCCCACCCAGGAGCCACCCAGACAGGCCTCCTTAGGACAGAAGACATTCTTATCACCTGGGAAATTCCAAGGGGTTGGGAGCTTTGTGCCAGGAATCAGAGTCAAAATCCAAACCCTGGAACAAAAAATCTCCTAACGTAGCGCTCCTGTAGCTCAGGAAATTACAGTGTTGAGGCGTGTCGTTCTACCAGGAACCCGGGGGCAGAGACCAGGTACATATCTCTTTATTATGTGACACCGTCCAAAGCATGAGTGACCTGGAAGAGCCCTCTGTAGTTCAGCCGTGCACGATGACAGCGTCCTGGAATGTCCGGGTTCCCCTCTCCCGCGTGCGTCCGTGCAGTCCACAGGCCAAGCAGGTTTTTCTCCCCAGGACTTTTCAGTGCCTTTAATAGCTACATTTTCAAGAGAGAAACATGGCACACATCCAGTGTTTCCCAAATTTGATGTGACCTAGAACTGATTTTTGGTAGTAGAACGTGAGAAACACTCGTTAGAAGGGGAGAAGATTGAAGCCCACGGAGGTGACACTTGCGTCACTACCTGCTGGGGGGTGAAGAAGCCTGCAGACGGGGAAGGTGGCTTCCCTGATTCCCAGACGTCTCCCCCACAGGCTCCTGCAGGAGCCGGAGACAGTGCACCCCACCCGTGGTGGGGTAGGGCCTGACACGGGAGGCTTCAGGTTTTAATGTGTTTCTAATCGCAGACCACTTGTTCCAGTGTGATTTAGGTACTAGACAGCGAGCTGGGCACTGTGAGCGTACCTGAGTCGCGCAGCTGTGTGCGGCAGGTGGTCGCCGGGCAGGTGGGAAGTGAGGGGCCACAGCAGCTGCCCAGCCTAGAGCAGAGGGGGCTGGGGGTGATCCGTGTCCCTGTGGGATTCTGAGTGGGAAGAGGCCTCGCTGCTCTGGGTCCTGAAGGGTTTAGGTGGGTGCTTTTCCCTTCGAGGGTCCAGTCCCAGGGTGATGGTTGGAAGCCTCACCTGCCTGCCCCGCTGTGGCCCTGCCCAGAGCAGGCTCCAGCCCCTCTGCCGCCTGTGACCACGTCCACCCTTCTCTGATCTCGGGCTTCCTGCCCTTTCAGATGGTCTCGTTTAGTATTCCCAATACTAAGCCCTGTCTCAGCCTGTATGAGTCCATATCTGTTGCTTATAGTAAAGTACACGGAACGGGGTGATTTGTAAGAAAATGAAATTTATTGCTCACAGTTCAGAGGCTGGCAAGTCCACAGTCCAGGGAACACATCTGCTGAGGGTCTTCTTTGGTGGTGGCAATGCAGGGGTCTCACGTGGCAGAAAATGGCAGAGCAGAAAGAGACTCACCCCTCACGTGCTCTCCTTTTAAAGCCCCCAGAACTATGCCCGGACCACCGTTATTAATCCATTCCCTCCACATGGTCAGTGCCACAGTCTAAGCACCTCTTCAAGGCCCCACCTTTCAATTACCATAATAGGATTTCCTGCCCTCTTTATACTGTCATGGGGGGACTGAGTTTAGGGAGACACTCAACCCAAGGCATAGCCATTAATGTGTGCGTGTGTGGTTTGTATATTTAAAAATGATAGGCAAGGGCCGGCCCGTGGCTCAGTCGGGAGAGTGCGGTGCTGACATGGGAGAGCGTGGTGCTGACAACACCAAGTCAAGGTCAAGGGTGAAGATCCCCTTACCGGT